TAAGGAACTAATAAAAAGGATATGTATTTATTGTATCAATTAGACAGTGTAAATTTTTAAGCAACATATGTAAACTACTACAACATTCTTGGATAAATTTCAAACGACTCTGTGAATGATTTCTAACCAATCATTACTTTCGTTTGAACACTTCCATAAGAGGGTAATATATAATGGTTGAAGAAGCTGGATGACAAGGCTTGAAATCAATGATAATGAAGTAGATTATTTCATGCTTGAAATTTGTTCACCTTGAGAAAATAATCACTTCACTCAGTATTTATCTCATATTTCAACGGATATTATATGAATAAAAGTGGTATTTTATGGTTTTAAGGTAATATTGACATTTAGGTGAAAATAAATACAACTTCTCTGTTGAGATTGTTTTACAAATATGTGGAATCACTTGCCAGATTAATTACATCTATTCTTATGGAAACCCTAATCAATTAAATTACGTATCTTCACACAAATCATGGTAATAAATTAAAGTACTTATGTCATATATATGTTTATTTTGTCTTAGATTTACTTGTGTTACATAAAATTTAAGTGACAGTGAGTCTCATAGTAATCACACACTTAACTGACCTACTAACTATTAAGCTTAGACGTAAAAAGTAGCATTGTAAGGAGTCAAGTGGTTGAATAACTAAAAACTTCATGAATTTACCCAATGTCTGAAATCATCTTCAGAATAACATAAAAGAACAGTGAATTGTATTGTTTATTTACGGTTGATCAGTGTATGTTAACCAATTAATTAATGGGAGTCTGACGCTTAATTTTATAACTCGTTGATATCGCTCTTTGCTGTCAAATCGTTTGTGAGACAGAAGTTTCTGCCATAGTTGCTGACAAATATAAGTTGCATACCTAATTAGTGTGAAACGTGTTATCTAACCACTTGCATCAATTATCACACTGTATATTCCGTCTCTGAGGGAAAATAAGCTTTATCAAATTAATGAACATACTTTCTTCACGAATACTAATAACCACGACACATTGGTTCAAGGTTGTTAGTCGTTTGCTTACATTAATCTTATGAATATACTCTTCAATAATATTTGACAACTCATAGCTTAGTGATCACAATGTATAATCAAACGATATGACTGGTTACTAAGGATTAGACTTCATGGAAGAGTTAGAACAAAATTAATGAATCGCTTTACATCTCTTAATAGACTAACATCTGTATATCGATTCCGTCAGTTTATTCTAAATTTATCCTTGGAATCATTCTTCTGATGATTCCATAAAAAAACACTAAGCAAAAACCCCCTGCATTAAAAATGATGATTAAGCTATCTATCGATTAACATTGTTGACAATGAACTTTTTTATCAGAATTTCATCTGATCATCTCATCATTGATCCTGTTGACGATATAACTTACCCGTATAGCCTACACAAAATTTGCACATGTTAATAAATTATTAAAATTCCCATGAAAATAACTTCAGATAATTATGTTTTTATTTGATTCATGTTTAGTCGTCGATAGAATAACCGATATATAAATGTAATTATAAAGAAATATTACAGACATTTCATTATTATCAAATCACACGATCTCTAATTCACGTTTTCATTCAACCTAGTCATATTCTGTTTTATTTTCCATCAAGTTGTGAATTGAGCATGCTCAAGTATAGGGATTGTTTTTAAAATACCTAACAAAGACATTACTTCATGCAATCAGATCCATTGATGAATTTAAATAGTCACTGACTGAAATCATGAGACAATTTTTAAAATCTCCACAAAACCCCTTCTGATAATAATAATAATCATCTGCTCATTAGTGACTGACTTCAAGAGATACTCCTGGAGTTCTAGTGAGAAGCCGTTACCAGTGGAGTTTAACCAGGTCTATTGTGAGATATCAACTCACTGAAGACAATGATGTACGGTGGCGCAACTTCATGGATTGGTTGAAGTTAGACATCAACACCGTTGGATGCCGGCCGGCTCAGTGGTCTAGTTGGTTAAGCGCATGGCGCGAGACTGATAGGTCCTGAGTTCGAATCTCGCAGGAGGCGGGATCGTAGATGCGCACTGCTGAGGAGCTCCATACTAGGACGAGACGGCCTTCTAGTGCTTCAAGGTTTTCCATGGTGGTCTAGCTTCAATTGAATCATGATTTTAATCAGTGAGAATTTAAATAGTGCAAGAAAAATAAAGTTTGTGTAATTAAATAAATTTATACTATTTCACCGCTTCTCATCGTCTACATACAACTTAAAACTATAATTAATAATAAATGTTTCGCATACTTTAATTTAGGTAAGTTTAGATAAATGTTCGAAATGTAATTAAAATCATAATCATAAGTTAATAAGAAACCGTAAAATAGACTGATCAATTCATTTTATCCTACGAATCTTATTGTTCTTTAGTGATGATCCAATTCTGTCGAGTAAATTGAACTATAGCTACTAATCCAAACCAGTAGACGTCAACATTGGTTGCTATTAAGTGGTCAGTTAATATAAGTTTCTCAGTCATACGACAAGTCAGCCTAGGCCGAAATAATCTAAGGATAACGTCTCAGGTTGTGAGGTTATGTGATAGGGGATCAAATCCTACAATGATTAATTAGTTCCGTTAAAATTTTAGGCGTTTTTTACTGAAGAGATTCAAGAAACACGAACCTCTATGTTCAGAGTTTCCTATCGGCTACCTCCAGCCGCTTAGCATCAAATTCTTTTTTGTTTATTGTGATTTAGAAGGTTCGATTTAGACTGAAAACGCTTGACGTAGTGCAAAAATTATCAGTACTAAGCGGAATTTATTCATTTATTACGACAATAGATCATACAACAGTGATGATAAAAATAGTATCATCAAGTGAAAAAAATTCCGTTTATTTTAAGCCAACGAGGTATATGTTCATAATTATCCTACTTACTTAAATACTCCTGTTACCCCTTATGGAAGAGCGTAGGTTGCATCACTAGCACAGTCCACCCAATTCTGTCCTGGACAATCCAAGTTATCACTTGCCTCAAGATGCGGCTTGATGATTTCCTTGATGTGTATCCTATCCACTTCCAACGTCTTTTCGTAATTTTCTCTTCAGATGGAAACTGGTTTGTTCTCTCCCAAGGTAGACTGTTTCTGATCGTATCCGGTCAACGGATATTTAGTATCTTGTGTAGACAATTGTTTAGAAATACTTGTACATTTTGGTAATGGTTGTAGTGGTTCTCAAAGTTTCACCCCCATGCAGTAGAACCATCTTGACGTTCGTATCGAAAATTCTGACTTTGATGTTGGCTGACAGACAGCTGTTTTGAGTGCCATACGTTCTTCAACTGTAGGTATGCGGCTCTTACTTTTCCAATTCTTGCCTTTACGTCTGCATCAGTTCCTCCACGTTCGTCAATGGTGCTCCCTAAGTATGTGAGTTTCCATCTCTTCCAGATTTTCTCCACCAACTGTGATTGGTTTGGTTGGTGTTCTCCATGTTGTATTTGGTGATCTTGGTTTTTCCTTTGTGTATGTTGAGGCCTACTGATGCAGATACCGCTGCCACAGTTTGTCTTGACCTGCATTCGTCGGTGTGCATGAGATAGAAGAGCTAGGTCATCTGCGAAGTCCAAATCATTTAGTTACATCAGACCTGTCAATTTTATTCCGTTTTTCCCTTCAGATCTCGATGTCTTCATAATCCAGTCAACCACCAGAAAAAGAACTCTACCTGTAGCTCTTCTAGGACTACTACCGGTCCCAACCACAGGTAAGAAAGGAGAGTTGGGAATGGGACTGGAAACCTCGACCCGTAAAAAACAACCTTGCTAAAGGACGTTAACCGGAATAAACAATTTAAACCATAATTATTTTTTGAAGTACAACCATTATGTGCTTTTAGTACAAATGAATTGTAGATAACAGCGGAGTTCAAGATGAGCGTTCCGTCCTGTTTGAGACTAGTTTTCTGGATAAACCTGTATTACAGTATTGATTTTAGTGAACGTCTGGACTCGACAGCTTAAAGGATAACGCTTAGAGAGAAAGGTACTGAGTTCGAGTTTCAATGAAAACAATCATACTGGGATGCAGGTATATCCAGATAACAAGTCTCAAATAAAACAAAACGCGCATCTTATGTTTCGTTGATAGCTACACTTCGTAGTTTATGTAAAACTTAAAAATTCGATTTTAAGATGATTTTGTGACATAACTATCAGGCCTTTATTGTTCACTATTAAAAACTTCCAAACTAGATCGAAACAATCAACCAGTTCTGATTGATTGTACATTTTTCTTCAATACGTAACGAAAGCAACATTCAAATAGGATAACCTACTAAAAACATTATTCTCTTTTTAATACTGATATCGAATTAAAGAATATGTAGTTCCTACTAAAAAATTTTCTTTACACCATGGTTAACAGATGATAATCACCATAAAAAAATAGTTGAGCATACATGAAAAGATAATTATTTCAAAGACATGTGGTTTCATTCTATGAAAAATTGATATTCTCTTCTGAAATTTAACAATATGATCATAAAACTACACAGAAGTTGTGAAAATATGCCAGTAATATTCCATTACTATTGAATTTCAAAATATATTTTTTAGTACTTACCTACCTATATTAATTGATTAGCAATAGTGACGAGTGTTACGTTGTCGATTGAATTCCATTGATCAAATTGTAGCTCAAACACTAGTCTAAGTGATCCGACATGACTTTATTATTATTATTATTATTATTATTATTATTATTATTATTATTATTATTATTATTAATGGCTTTATTCAATATTATATGTTTCAATATCAAGCGATTGTAAGGTTTCCTGTCACCTAGCAACTATATAGTAATTATTGGGTTTTTTTAATACTAATACAGAAATAGATTGGTATTTAGCATTTTCTAATCTCAATATATTCATGAATTTTATTTTAACTTCAATTATACTTCAATAGAAAAAATGATTATGATTAATTTTTCATGATTTTCCTAGAGCTTTAGAAATGAATTTATCTGAACGTTGTTATCATCATTATCATCCATCTAATTCTGAAGAAGCATTAAATCTTCAAATTTCAAATTCTTCTCTTTCTATTAATAAAATTCAAACAAAACGAAATAAATTCAGTATAAATGAATTGATTCAATGTTCAAAGCATCGAACATCTGAGTTGAACTGTTTTAAAAATCAAATCACTGTAAACAGAATAAATCAAGATAATAATAATAATAATAATAAGACAAGTTTAATGAATTGCCATCACACTACTGAATTATCAAATATAGTAAATTCATCAAATCAATTTATAAAATATTCCAATGTAAATATAATCGAAAAAACAGAAAATTTTTGGAGTAGTCCAGAAATGGAAGTTTTAAAACATCGTCTTCAGGAACATTTAAATCAAATTAAAAATAAAACAATGAATACATCATTATTGAATTATCATTCAAAAACTGAATTAATCAAGTATCCATTAACTGATAAATCAGTAACAACAGCATCTAATGATCAAAAACATTCAGTAAATAAAAAGTCTATAGGTAATTCAAATCAGTCAAATATCAATTATCCATATAACTATTTGGATTTACAAGGTTGTATAAAATCAGAATTAAGTGCATTTCATCCAGTTCCTAGTAGACAAATCCCTTCTGAATATATTGATAATAATCCTATGAATATTACTAATATACATACAAAACATTTAAATACAGAAATGTACATGAATAAATTTACTGATCTCTTGAACTCATTTCAACAATCAAAAATAAATCTATTTTATACAAATTCAACTAAATCACCCGTTTCACAATCAGATGTAATCTATTCTAAACACAATAATACTAATCAAATAACTTCAAATTCCTTTTTACAATCTTTAGATACACATGATTCACATTATTCTGGACAAATATGTAAACAGTTTAAAACAACTGTATTTAATTCTACCACTGAACATTTGGACAAAATGAAATCAAACATTATTTCATCAAATATTTCTCAAATTACTATTCCTGTTACTGATGAAAACAAAAAGTGTCAATTAAAACCATCAATTATATTATCATCATTCGAAACAACAATAACTACTACTAATAGTAATACAACTACAATTACTACCACATCCTCTACCTTAGATCAAAGGAAAACACAGAGAAGATCAAATTTCAATAAGAAATGTCAAAAATGTCCATGTATTAATTGTCAATTAACGCGCAATATGAAATCCATCGATAGCGTTAACAATAACAATAAGAATACCTTCAATAGTTTCAATATTGAAACATTGAATTTAGATCATAGAAAATCAATACATAAAGCAGTGCATTTATGTAATTTATGCGGTAAAACATATAGTAAAACAAGTCATTTAAAAGCTCATTTAAGATGGCATAATGATGAAAGACCATTTCGATGTATATATGAATTATGTAATAAAGCATTTACTAGATCTGATGAATTACAACGTCATATACGTACACATACTGGTGAAAAACGTTTTACATGTATCATATGCAATAAACGTTTTATGCGTAGTGACCATTTAAGTAAACATCGTAAAACACATGAAGTATTTATAAAGAAGTAATCTGTTATAAACAATTGAATAGGAAGATATGCATTTACTTAATTACTTATTTTTTTTATTTTTTTTCAAAATTAGCAAATACAATTCTCAAATGCATTGAATTGGATCATTTTCATCAATTTCAAACTACGCTCTATAATGATCTTGTCAAAAAGTCATATTAGGAACTATAATATTTATCTATACCTCAATTAGACATATTATTATTATATTTTTCTTATTCAACTGGTTGTTTGTTTGTTTTAATCATCTTATTGTACAAATTATTTTTATATAAATGATTTCAGCACAATTTGTAATTAGTTTAGTTTTGTTTTGTTTTTGTTTCTAAAGAGAATTCAGGAAATAGTTTGTTTAAATGTTACGTATGTGTTAAATATTCAATAATATTTACACATTGATCACTGTTTGTTTTGTTATTTATTTTATTGAATGAATTATATGTGAATTGTAGCCGGTAAAGGAATAGAGGAAGTATGTTTTATCTTATTTAAGGTTCATCAGTTAGATATAACTTTATCCCTAGTGTTGATATACATTATAATATTTAAATCTTATGTCTATCGTTTCAAACCTTAATGCTTTTTTCGCTTAATTATTAAGTTTAGATATAATGTAATATTGAGACAGTTCAATCAGGGTATTTATGTAACAATAGAGATAATTTAGTTCCAGTCATGAATGTTGATTTCTTGATATGCCACGTATAACACAGCACTAAAACAACAAAACCCTTCCAAGTCGCAATAAGAAGACAGAAGACTAATGAAAGGAATATTATTCCAAATAATGTCAATCATAGTTCAAAATTGTCAGGTATTTGTAGTTTTTAGGGAGAACGAAATCATCATTACAGTCCTTCAATCCGCATACAGGGGGCTATTAGCATTATCCAATCGGGAAGCTACACGTAGGAATTCTAGAATATTCTTCCGAAATGTGATTGGATGGAACGTCTTCGGCTCCTTCTGAGACTCTTACAGCTTCCTCGAGTTTACCCGTGGTCCGTCGTCACAATTATAAAGTCATAATAAAAAATTTATAATTCTTACTCACTGATTGACGTTAAAAGAGCGATTGGTTGTTAGTCACTGATGAACTTTTGAAAAAAAAATCAGAGAACAATTGATAGTTAATTTACTTTAGTTTAGAACTGGTTCTTAAGTCACACTTAAAACATTAAACAATAATGAACAGTCAGGAACTTGAAGTTTTCTTTTTATAATGAATATAATTAAACTCAAAATACTCAATTGAAATCTAGTGGTCGACATTTTCAAAATTCAATAGATTTACACCATATTGTAATTTTTTTAACAAATCCTAATACTGTATAACTAACTTGGATGGAATTAGAAAAGAAAGCTTAGGACAGAGTGGGTTGGAGAATGCTGGTCGGCGGCCTATGCTCCATTGGGAGTAACAGGCTTAAGTAAGTAAGTAAGTAAGTAAGTAAGTAAGTAAGTAAGTAAGTAAGTAAGTAAGTAAGTAAGTAAGTAAGTAAGTAAGTAAGTAAGCAAGTAAGTAAGTAAGTAAGTAATTAAGTAATTAAGTAATTAAGTAAGTAAGTAAGTAAGTAAGTAAGTAAGCAAGTAAGTAAGTAAGTAAGTAAGTAAGTAAGTAAGCAAGTAAGTAAGTAAGTAAGTAATTAAGTAATTAAGTAATTAAGTAAGTAAGTAAGTAAGTAAGTAAGTAAGTAAGTAAGTAAGTAAGTAACTTTCACTTACTTCCTAACTGACTGAATCCATTGATTTGAAAGTTTACCTAGAGCTTGTTTTCATGTTTGTTTGTTTTTAACGCCATTTACCCTTTAATTTTATTTTACTGTACTATACAATGAAATGTAATAAATATGTTAAGTATACTATACAGTTCTAAGTTGATGAGTTGTTTCACCAACTCATCTCTTATATATATATATAAGCTTGACGAAAAATATTCAAAAAATTGAATGATAACTAAAACCCATTTATTTTCTAGTAACTATAACAACAGTCCTGTTTATATTTGTTTATATATATATATAAGCACATTTATGATATTCACATACTTAAAATAGATGTATCTTAAATTTTTTTTTTAAATTTTATTTCCATTTAATTATACAAAACTATCACACTTAGAACATGAAATAAAATTGGCTGATAAAGTTTATTTATTTTGTACATGTAAAAGAATTGAAATTCAATGAGCTGTTACTCAATTCAATATTACGTAATATAAGCGGTGTTTTTAAAAAAATATATATACAAATTAATCACTAAGACAATGTTAACGAATAAAAATTAAAATGCATAGAATAATGAATTTTAAATAAAGAAATGATTGAATAATTTTAAATAAATTTGTTCAAAATACAATAAATTCCGTTTTAAAGAAATTGTTAAATGAATATTTTATAAAGTAAATACATAAATCACAGATTATATAAATAATTGCTCAGGATAGAGTTGGATGAAAAGTGCTAGTGGGTAGCCTATGCTCCTGCACGAAGGGTAACAGGCATAAGTAAGTAAGTAAGTAAGTAAGTAAGTAAGTAAGTATATAAATAATTAATTTGTTATATACTTTGTTGGAGAGGTCTTATGATAATAATCTTGATTTGTAAATGATATTCATCAGTTGAAGCATTATTAAAACCGAGAAACATTGGACAACTCTTTTTGCACTCTAGTGTAGAATTGCATACATTAAACAACCCTATAATTCTCCGTCGTTTTCGAAAATATTCTAAGTGTAGCTGATCCATAATGAATAATTCCTCATTGGAAATTAAAGCTTAGTTGTATGAAATAATGCTGCAGTATAGTATATTTGATTATAACAGATTGAAGAGTCTTATATGAAATATTCAATGCAAATGTCGAGAGAGTTCTACTGTATGGGGCGGAAACCTGGAGAACTACGAAAGCCATCATCCAGAAGATATAAGTGTTTATTAACAGTTTTCTACGCAAAATACTTCGGATTCATTAGTCAGATACTATCAGCAACAATCTATTATGGGAGAGAACAAACCAGATCCCAATAGAGGAAGAAATTAGGAAGAAGAGCTGGAAGTGGATAGGACATACATTGAGGAAAGCACCCAACTGCATCACAGTACAAGCCCTCACATAGAATCCTGAAGGCCTAAGGAAAAGAGGAAGACCAAAGAACACATTACGCTGAGAAATGGAGACAGACATGAGAAAAATGAACAAGAATTGGATGGAATTAGAAAAGAAAGCCCAGAACAGAGTGGGTTGGAGAATGCTGGTCGGCGGCCTATGCTCCATTGGGAGTAACAGGCTTAAGTAAGTAAGTAAGTAAGTTTGTAATGGTTACTGTACTTACAGTGTCACAGTTTTAAAAAAAAATACTATTACCAGTTGTAGATGCCACTGGATATAAGCCTCAAATAATTTACAAACTTATCTGTTTATTTCCTCCAGACTAAGCATTATTATTATTATTATTATTATTATTATTATTATTATTATTATTATTAATTTTAAGTGAAGTTTCAGAAATCCTATGAGTTAATGAAGTGTAATCATCATTTCGCATAATAATAATAATATGATATGATATTATGCAAATGATTACACAATAACAATAATGTCAAAAAATAAAAAAAACTTTTGTTTATTTTTCACATATCGAAAATTCTATCTGAGCATTATATCAAATGGTAATGTCAATGTGTAATACTTCAAAAATAACACACACACACACACACAACCCAATATTTACTTATATCATAAAATTCTGTGAGATAATGTAAGAGATTACCATTCTTTTTCTATACTGATAATAATGCCATGAAAATGCATACTAATAGTCTATTTTTTTTTGGCACTTCACATGACAAAAAAAACATTTCAGTATAAATGACATCACTTAAGATACCCAAAGAAAAACAAACTCTAGATATGTATGCTGAATGTATAACTAATTATTATTTATTTATCACAAATTAGTCGGTAATTAGAAGATTCATAAACAAAGAATGAATTATACATGTTTAGAAATACTATGGATTGTTTACTTGTCATTTTCTCTTGTATATTGTTTAGATGCACGTGGTATAGATGTCAACGATTTTAATAAACACTTGTGTAGTTTAATTCACTTGATATTGTTTTATTTGAATCTTCCCATTGATGTTTTAGGACTGAAGTTGATCAGTCTCTTATTGACATATGTGCATACTGTGCGTATGCCTCGATATTGCCTTAATTTACAAGCATTATAAGCAGAGTGAACATCAACTCTGAGATGCAGGTACATCCAGCTGACGAGTCCCAAACAGGACGAAACGCGCGTCCTGGATTCCACTGCTAGCCACTATCCATCTCTGCTTATAATGCTTGTAAATTAAGGCAATATCGAGGCATACGCACAGTATGCACATATGTCAATAAGAGACTGATCAACTTCAGTCCTAAAACATCAATGGGAAGATTCAAATAAAACAATATCAAGTGAATTAAACTTCACCCCATTGCACAAGCAAGTGGCTATCAGGACTCAGTAGCTAAGTGGATAACGCGATGGCGTTTGAAGCGAACGGTACTGAGTTCGAGTCCCAGATTGAACATCAACTCTGAGATGCAGGTACATCCAGCTGACGAGTCCCAAACAGGACGAAACGCGCGTCCTGGATTCCACTGCTAGCCACTATCCATCTCTGCTTATAATGCTTGTAAATTAAGGCAATATCGAGGCATACGCACAGTATGCACATATGTCAATAAGAGACTGATCAACTTCAGTCCTAAAACATCAATGGGAAGATTCAAATAAAACAATATCAAGTGAATTAAACTTCACCCCATTGCACAAGCAAGTGGCTATCAGGACTCAGTAGCTAAGTGGATAACGCGATGGCGTTTGAAGCGAACGGTACTGAGTTCGAGTCCCAGAGTGAACATCAACTCTGAGATGCAGGTACATCCAGCTGACGAGTCCCAAACAGGACGAAACGCGCGTCCTGGATTCCACTGCTAGCCACTATC